CGTATTTATATACTGCGTGGACAGTCAACACTGCCGCCAGTCCATACACTGATCGATTAAAATCCCTAAATCGGAGGCGATGAGTGTTCCCTTTGTTTGTGTGGCTCAGTTCTTAGCGTGCAATAGGCTCTACTACTATTACATGTTCGATATATGCTACACAGTTTGCTTTGTGAACCCCAAACCCCAAACCCTAAAACCCAGTGATTTTTTCGTACGTGTCACACAGCCATTTGGGTGCTATATCCCACACAATGCCTTGGACGTGGTATGTATGTGTGATTGCCATGGTTACCTGAGCCAGTGCCTGGGTATCGCCTGCTCGCAATGGTTGGATGATGGCCGTCTGAAACACTCGCGGGTCATTCAGTGGTTGCGATTGCAGAAACATGAACAGCGACATGGTGTCATCCACACGATTCTGGCACACGGACACCCCGGGGGAAAGCAAGGCATGGGGTGAATACACGACAAATGAGAAAGGTGTGGAGAATATACGACAAACGACAAAGGGTGTGGTGAATATACGACAAATGAGAAAGATGTGGAGAAAATACGACAAACGACAAAGGGTGTGGTGGATATACGACAAATGAGAAAGATGTGGAGAATATACGACAAACGACAAAGGGTGTGGTGGATATACGACAAATGAGAAAGATGTGGAGAATATACGACAAACGACAAAGGGTGTGGTGGATATACGACAAATGAGAAAGGTGTGGAGAATATACCACAAACGACAAAGAGTGTGGTGGATATACGACAAAGAGTGTGGTGGATATACGACAAAGGACAAAGGGTGTGGCGAATAAACGACATATACGTGAAAATAAAATATGAGCTAAATATGTGACAAGAAAAAGGGTGTGGCAAATATACGACATAAATGAAAATAAAGCGTGAATTATATAGAGGAGAAAAGACGAAGTGTGTGACTAATATAGTACTTATAAGCAAAAACAAAGTGTGAGCTAAATATACGACAAATAAGTAAAACAATATATATATATACATACATACATATATATATATATATATATATATATATGTGTGTGTGTGTGTATCATCGACACACTCATATATCCAGCGGCTCAGACACCACACACGCACAGTCCTGTTTAATTGCCTACTCACCTGTATGGGTGTGCCCGTGAGACACCAGCGGTAGATACTATCTAGTTTTAGACACGCCTTCGCTAATTTAGTGTTTGTGTTGCGGATCTGGTGGGCCTCGTCCAACACCACACGCAGCAACGGCATCTGCAGAGGGCCGCCATAGAGAGCGGTGGACGAGAGAGGTCGCTTGTTGTTGGCTGTGGGTGTGACAATGCAGCGGATGAGACGGGGTATATGTGTTGGTATGGAAGGGCTGGAGAGTATAAACATTACCATGGCAACGGTAGTGGACAGGTGGTAGTACTAGAGATTGGGATGAAGGGTTGATGGGTTGATGGGTTTAGGGCTAGGATGAAGACCCACGTTCGATATACCTACTTGCAGCCCAGAGCGACCGCTTGTTCACTAGAGACAGAATACGCACTATATGAGGGGGTGCACATGTGACTTCATAAGGAAAAACAATACAGACACCATTAGATCAGTCGATATTCGTAGCCGGCTATGAATGCTTGCTCACCGTCGCAGGTGCATGTGTTGAATATATATACAAACACACACACACACACACATATACACACAAA